TAGGGGTGTCCCTAAACCCTAAACCCAAAGCCCACAAACCCTGCACCCTTGGCCTCAAAGCAATCCCCATCTAGGTGCGCAAGGCCAAAAGAGTTTCTTGAAATATACATGGACCCCTATTGTACGGTCTAGAAGTCTGCGGATTAGGGTTTAGTAAAGTCTGCGAGTGTTGCATCGATGTGGGATTCTGGTAAGTTGGGCGAAAAGAAATGCAGCAGCTATGAATTCATCTAGAGTCTAGAGGCCATGTACAATCACCTGTAAGTCAACCTTTATTTGTCTAGGCTTCCTGGCACGGCTTTTAAGGCTTGTTCCGTTTTACGAAACCTTACTGTGGCATCTCCCCTGGACCCTCCACAGGTCACCCTGACCTGAACCCTAAACTCTTTCCAACTGCTTTGCTACGGCTAGTGATATACATCCTGCATTACCCGTAATAAGGAATATACCATACTTGCCGTAATTTTGGGGTCCTTAAGGTAGTGGGATTTATATCATCAACCGTATGTGGCTACTTTCAAGATCACGTGACCCTAAACCCTAAACCCTAAACCCTAAACCCCTAAACCCTCTAAAAGATTACGTGGCCCTCCTGAAAAACCTCTAAAAGCCCTGAACCAGAAACGGGCCCTAAACCTGAAAGACCCGAGGAAGCCTGAACTCCCCGGTTTAGGGTTTAGTGTTTAGGGTTTAGGGTTCAGGGTGTAGGGTCCCAATCCTAACTCCCCGGATACCCCGACACAGAAGCCTGAACAGACTGGCTTCACGGTACCAAGAGGAGCAACTTCTAATATTGATGATATAAACCCTGCATGACCGTAAGGACCCTAAACGCTGGAAATCTTGGTATATTCTTTATCATGGGTAACCTAAACCCTAAACCCTCAACCCTATTCCACATAATGGGTAAGGCAGGAGATATATCATCAACCACATTCGCAAGTTTAGGGCACTCAAGCCATGGCCTAAACCCTAAACCCTAAACCCTAGCCTAAACCCTAACCTAAACCCTAAACCTTAACCTAAACCCTAACCTAAACCCTAAACCCTAAACCCGAACCTAAACCCTAAACCCTAAATATGTCATCAGCCATATTCCCAGGTTCCCGTGTTTCAGCGCCCCTTGGAGTCTCACAGAGGATCCCGTCATGCTGAAGGCATTCTTTAGGGTGTAGGGTTTAGGCTTTACGGTTTAGGGCTTAGGGTTTAGGGCTTAGGGTTTTTTTAGGCTTTAGGGTTTAGGGTTTAGGGTTTAGGCTTTAGGGTTTAGGGTTTAGGGTTTGGGGATTAGGGTTTAGGCTTGAGGGTTTCTATTTGAGATTTGAGGTTTAGGATGTAGGGGTTTTAGGCTCTTTTAGGGATCAACACCCCCATGGCAAGTCATTCTGGTTGGCCCTGCACTCCCATCTCGACGCCTCTTCGGGAACCCCAAAAACCCCCAAGACCCTAAGGTAGGGGCCTTACTGGGTAGTTGTCTAAATTAGGGTCCCTTTGGGGTCCTTTTTATAAGGGTGCCGTACTATATTCGGGACCTAGAAAGGGACACTAGTTAAGAGAGCTACCCTAATAGTGAGAATAGGGTTTTGGGCTCGCTAATACTACAGTCATAGTCATGATAAGGAACCGTGAGGAATAATATTGGTGAAACTCTTCAGGCCTTCTATAGTACGCCCCCCAACCCAAAAAGCCCTAAACCCGAAGCACCCCGGGCTTCCTGGTCGTAGAGGATCACGTCATCTTTGCCTGGGTTCTTGTGAAGGGATTTACGGTTTCTGTATTGTGGTACGGGTTTAGGGCTTAAGGTTTAGGTTTCAGGATCTTAGTTTAGGGTTTAGGGTTTAGGGATTAAACCCTTCTAACAAGCACCCAGTTGCAGCGGGAGCATTCGCAGCAGGCGTCCCAGGCGCTCTGCCCGCCCACGGCGTAATCTTCGATCGCCCCCCAACCTATGGGATTGGGTTCTGTGGGGTCCTTTAGAAAGGTTCTGAGTATTTTGCTGTCAGTAGTAACGCTTTAGGTTTAGACATGTTCCTTGTAGCTTTCCTAATGCACTTTCTTCAAGGCTTGAGAGACTGTAAGGATGTTACCACAAGGGGTTTACAGGGCTTCGAACCCGTCGTTGTCTTCGTAATGAAGAGAGAGAGGCATGCCCCGGACCCAGATCCAGAGCAGAGGTATTGTAGGGGCCTTTACAACTAGAACAGGGTTTGGGGCTCCTTTATAGTATAATCAGGAACCCTAAGTAATACCATGGTTAACTAGAGCAAAGGTACAGTCCTTAAAAAGCTATGGAAATCCTTACTGTAGGGTTTAGAGTTGAGGGTTTGGGGTTTAGGGTTTGGGGTTACTGTAGGGTTTAGAGTTGAGGGTTTGGGGTTTGGGGTTTAGGGTTGCTGTAGGGTTTAGAGTTGAGGGTTTGGGGTTTAAGGTTCAGGGAACCTCGTCAAAATCAAGTCGCCTGAAAGCCGGAACCCCAAATCCAAGGGATTACCGGGCAACCATTACCCCAAACAAGATTAAAGGAAACTACAGGCGGGAAGTTTAGGGTATATAGGGCTTCCATAAGGCTCCTAGAAGGTGTATAGACCTTCTATAAGGCTCCTGTAACGGTACCTAACCTAAAATTGTCCTAGACAAGAGTGTCAGATCTTTACATCGAACTTTGGAAACCCCACACTCTAGCAGCCCGCAAGCAGAACTTTCCAAACTCCTCTCAGGACTGGGTTCTTGTTCGGGAACTTAGGTCTTAAGTCAAGATACCATAACAGGGATCTATGGTGAATAATATGGCTTCCTTATTAGGATAACTTAGGTAAAACCCTAAACCCTGAACCCTAAAGTTAAACAGGTACCGAGACGACACCTGCTGTAAGGTGTCAGAGCTGAGCCACTGCTGTCCCATCCAGGCCCTACACCGCCGGACCATGCGCACCATTGCCTGAGCAACATGTTTCGTGTTTGGGGGTTTGGGGATTTAGGGACTTAGGGATTTGGTTTAGGGGATTTAGGGAGTTAGGGTTTCTTCTTTAAAGTGCAATGGGTTTAGGGTCTAGGGTTCAGGGGATTTTTTAAAGTGCAATGGGTTTACGGTTTAGGGTTTAGGGACCAGACGGCGAATGCACAACGCTAAACCCCAAACCCAAAACCAAGTGGTTTGGCTTAGATTGGTTACCCTAAACCCTAAACCCTAAACATTGGTTAAAGAACAGAGTCAGGGCTTACGGGTTCACCACGGTTAAGGGGCGTAGGCACTCCTCTGATTGCGTGCTCTCTGTGTTCTTCTGCTGTCCGTTGGTGGTGGCCGAGGTTTATTCTATACATTGCCGTTGCTGCTAGAACGACGGCAGCAGCAGCAGCAGCAGCAGCAGCAACAACAACAACAACAGCTGCAACAGCAGCATTTGTAATTACATACGGTAGCAATTGGTACATAACTTGGCCGCGTGGCTGGCGGTAGTACGCGCTGCAGTTGTTTCCCCGGGAATCTACCCAGGTGCTGGAACTTTGACAACCGCCGCCGCATTGGCAGCCTCGGCTCGGGGCTTGGCGAATCAAACCATTCAGAGTCGATAACGCCTGAAGATACTGTACCTCAACTTCAACGCCCCAGGCCCAGAAAAAGTGGCCCTTGCTAGAGTTATAGTACCTACCCTTATAGTACCCTTATTGATACTACCCTTATGGTACCCTTATGGTACCCTTATGGTAGACTTATGGTACCCCCTTATAGTACCCTTATAGCACCCTCATGGTGACGAAAGCCAGACCCGGAATTTAAAGGAAAGGCCGAGGGGCTATAGAAAAATAGATGAAGGTCTGGTCTGATTCTCCAGGGTTTCGGGTTTTGAAAGGGTTGAAGGTGTATGGTTTAGGGTTTAGGGTTTAGGGTTTAGGGTTTAGGGTGGGTCTTCATTATCAAGGGCTTAGGTGTTTAGAGCCTTCTGATGATCAAGGCACCACACAAGGGACCTACGGTTTCGGTTGTGGTGTGCCACGTCAGATCAACAAGTTAATGCACGGGTGCTTGCAGGCGGCCACACTCAATCTATACGGTTTAGGGTTCTAGGGTTTAGGGTTTAGGGTTTAGGGTTTCGGGTTGCTATACAGAAATACATGTGTATACGTACCCATGTTTTCCAATGATCGCTATGATTGTCTGTATCATCCAGGACTTTACCTCTTTGTCGACTCAACCTCTGTGCATACATGTACACGAGCTAACATACATAAAAAGTAAAGACTTGCACACGCCTGCACGCATGCACTGTTGCATACTCTACTTATATATGCATATACGTGCATAAATACAAAATACAAATACAAATAAGCATTTACTGTATAATTGCGAAAATACATATGCATAAAATCAAACAATAAAACCAGAAAAAAAAATATTACATACATGTGTGTATATATATATATACATGTACACGCATGTGTTTCTCTAAGAACAAGAAAGGAAGCAGGCTTCGGCAGCGGACACGTTGTCCACCGCATAGGCCTGCAAGCGGTGTGGGCTCAGAGGCTTTGAGGAGTTCAGGGTTTAAGAGGGAGTCTAGTTTAGGGTTTAGGGTCCAGGGTTTGGGGTTTAGGGCTTAGTTTAAACGCCCTGGGTTTAGGAGCTGAGTTTAGGGTTTAAACACCCTAAACCCTAAACCCGACAGGGTTACGAGTTCAGGGTTCGGGTTTTGGAAGACCTTCGAAGGAAAAAGGGAAAGTACCCCCTGCACATGTGGTTTGGGGTTTAGGGTTGAGGGTTTAGGGTTGAGGGTTTAGGGTTGAGGGTTTAGGGTTGATGTCTTTGTGACTACGCCCTTCTGGAACAAAAAAGGAGCACTAAGTGGGTAGTTCTCTAAACCAGGGTTGCTTTGGGGTCCGGGTTTAGGGTTTAGGGTTTTTATAAGGTTGCCGTACTATATTGGGGACCTAAAAAGGGACCCCGAACTTAGAGAACCACCCAAGTAGAGAATCGGGGTCGAGGTACTTTGGAGCCTCGGAGATTTTTGGGATCACTAAGTAGAGTTTAGGGTTTAGGGCTTAGGGTTTAGGCTTTGGTGTTTAGGGTTTAGGGTTTAGGGTTTAGGATTGTGGTCTAGGGTGAGTTAAGAAAATACTGGTAGCACTACTTCGGTAGTTCTCTAAACTAGGGTCCCTGTTTGGATCCCCAATATAGCACGGCACCCTTATAAAAAGGACCCTGAAAGGGACCCTAATATTGAAAACTACCCACTTGGGGGGTCACCAGACCCTCCAAATACACCCAAGATGTTGGACCCTGAACCCTATGCCGGAACCCTAAACCCTAAACCCTAAACCCTAGGCCCCAAACCCTAAACCCTAAACCCTAAACCCTAAACCCTAAACCCTAAACCTATACCGACCCAGAGACTCCAACAGCCCTTAATTAAGGAATATACCTTAAATCATATGAGGAGTCCTACTATAATTTAAGGTATATTCCTCAATTAAGGGATATTGGAGTCTTTGGGGACACTGAATCCCCAGCTCTGCAAACTGCAGCGATGAAGGCCCTCCATTTTTGCACAGATCTCCCACGCATCCAAGACTTTGCGGTCTTGCCGTGCAGGTTCGGCATATAGAGTTTGGGGCTGAAAGTTTGGTGTGAATGGCGTTATGGCCGAAGCGGTTCGTGTTTGAAGTTGGGAGCTCTTGTGGGGGCTCTAAGGTCATCGCATTCTTGGCAGCGACAGCAGTGGCAGTCTAAGTGCCTTAACCCATATGTTATAAACCCCAACGCTGGAACGGATCTCTTAAGACTTAGAAACACCACAATGCTCAACCCTAAAGCCCAACCCCTAAAGGAACTCTCGTCAAGACCCTTTCAGAAACCGAAAAACAGACTGCTTCCAAAGACCCTCTTAGACCCCTGAAGCCACACTGTGAACCCTTGACCCTTGTTTGTAGCAGCACCTGTGGAAACCCAATAGAAACCCTGGATCAGAACCCTAAAACCCTAAACCCTGAACTCGAAACCCTAAACCCTGAACCCTAACACCTAAACCCTAAACCCTAAAGATCAAAAGCCTGAAGAAATGAAGGCACCTGCAGGCTCTCTCCTGCAGGGATCCCAGATGGACACCAGCCCTCCTGGTAGTACTGGTCGCAAGACCAACCTGATTGAGGGTTTAGGGGTTTAGGGTTTAGGGTCACTGCAAAGTTCAAAACCACTGCAGGGTTCATAGCTTGCGGTTTGGGGTTTAGGGTTCGGGTTTAGGATGTTGCTCTCATCACCCCAGGGTACCGCCTTGAATAGAAGACACGTTGCTACGTCAACGACTTTGCATTCCTTCGCACATTACAGGTGTTTACTACTACCGCCAATAGCATTCAATAGCAATGTTACGAACTGTCCACATTCATTGCTTGTGGCCGGAGAGGACTTGGCATTTGCCGGCACTTCATCAACATCGTGGACACCACTCATCCAAGCTATCGTAGTCTCAACGGTGGTCGCGATTACTCGAACACAAAATAGCCCACCCTGCACGAAATTAGAGGCAAGTCCCTTCAGACAAACTCCAAGACCCCAAATATCCTCAATCCAACATCCAACACTGGACTCAACAATCATGAGCCCGAAATCCTGAAACAAAACCTAAACCCCTAAACCCTAAAGCCCTAAACCCCTAAACCCCTAAACCCTATAAACCCTATAAGCCCGAAACCCTAACCCCCCAAAACCCCGAAACCCCCAAACCCTTAAACCCAAAACCTAGACCCAGAGACTCCAATATCCCTTACTTCACGAATATACCTTAAATCATATTAGGGATCCTACTATAACTTAAGGTATAGTCCTCACTTAAAGGATATTGGAGTCTTTGGGGAACTCCCAAGTCGCCAAACCCGAAAGGCTACACCCGAAACGAACCCCAGGGTTTAGGGTTTAGGGTTCAGGGGCTTAGGGTTTAGGGGTTTAGGGTTTAGGCTTTTAGGGTTTAGGGTTTAGGGTTTAGGGTTTAGGGTTTAGGGGTACGGTTCGGGTTTAGGGTTTAGGGGTTCGGGTTTAGGGTTTAGGGTCTAGGGTTTAGGGCTTAACCCGGACCCCTCACCCGCACAGAACCCTGACACAAGTGCTAAAAATCCTCCTCAAACACTACAGAAGCCTTGTAACACGTGAGCTCCATGGACCCGAAACAGCGAAACTATGCTCAACATCCCTTTCAGTTTGCAGGAAAATAGACCACGAAAAAAGATCCCACCAAACCCAAAACCCTTATTCCTAAACCCTAAACCCTTAAGAAGAACGGATGTCCAAGAGCAACATAAGATCCTTGCCCTCCCAGCTGCCGCGAGAGTCGAGCCATAGCTTCTCGTCTTTGCAAAGGCCGGCGCCGCAGCCTGGGCTTGAACTTTCTAAGTTAAGGCTTAGGGTTCAGAGTTCAGGGCTTAGGGTTTTTCTTTAAGGGCTCTTTTCGTCTGCACGAGTCGCAGATCTATGCTTAGGGTTTCGAGTTTAGGGTTTAGGGTTTAGGGCTAAAAGTTTAGGGTTTAGGGTTTAGGGTCTTGTTTCGACAATGCTTCAGGACTGAATAATGGTTCAAGGTTTTGGGCATGAAGGCAAAAGTTTTTGGGTTCTGGGGCTTCGGGTTAGGGGGCTGGGCAGCGTTTTTAGGGGGGCTGCTGTTTTCGGGCAGAGGCTCCCCACCCTAAACCCTAAACCCAAAACCCTGAACCCAAAACCCCTGAACCCCTAAA